CGGGATTCTTTAACTCTCTCGCCAGGTCGAACGACACGGCGCACGGCCACCGGACAGGTGGTGTTCGAAAGAAGGCCCCCCGGGTTACATTTGATGTGAATATGACTCACCTGCGCCGCACGCCGCCGCCGCTACATCCGTCCGCGCGCCGCCGCCCCGCCCGGACCCCACGCGGTCCCAAATCTTTAACGCTGATGCGCGGTGGGTTCCCGACATCGCAGAGCACCCGGAAAAATTCCACCGTAACCAGCACCGTTTTGTCTTATAGAAAAACCACCGATGAGCAAAATCCGAGTTCTGATCCTGGATTTTGGGCCAAGCTAGCCCCCGTGCCTCCCCGTGCCTCCCCCGTGCCTCCCCCGTGCCTCCCCCGTGCCTCGCACGAGCCGCCTCTCCTCTCTCTTCCACGCTGCAGCGTGAAGTGGGAAGTGAAAGTGTCGTGGGTGTGAAGTGTTCGGCTACTCTGCTCCTAATTAAGCGGCAAGTGCAAAAGTTTGGCTTCGCAAATTGCAGAGAGGTGAACAGCAGCGACATCATCACACGTAGCCGGGAGGGGGCGGGGCAGTGCCTCCCCGCTATCTGCGCGACGGATCGCGTGCGAATAGTGGGTCCGAGCGCTGCGAATAGTGAGCGCCCCTCGCGGCCTGAATGCTAAAGAGAGCGGGAGAAAGTTTCGGCGACTCATGTTCGCGGCGGGTCTTTTGTCGCGCAGGCGAGAGGTGTGCACAAAGCGGCGCACTTCAAGTGTAGCGTTAAGTGTAGCGTCGCGATATGTTCACGGTAAAAAACAATGCAGTGTTTTGGAGGAGAAGGGGAGAAACTTTGAGGAATTCCCATATCTGAGGAAAACTCCTCAGATCTCGCCTCAGATTTTGAACGAAAAATGATGAAAAGTCCCTTATTTTTTGAGGAGACTCACTCGAAATCTGAGGAGAGTTCCTCAAATCAAGGTTCTTCCGCACAAGTTTTCTCTTTTCCCTCAAATAAAACACAGACATTCTCTTTACCGCGTTACGTTATGCTTTGCTGATTAATTGGAAACATACTTTTCCGGAAATCCCGACCTTTTGTAACATTTTCAGTGTCGCACAGGGATGGGGATGAAGCCCACACTACAGTTTGAGTTTTGCGGTTGTGTTCACCATGGTCTCCGTTCTGCTTGCAGGCTGCACGTTTCCGCCCGAGTGGGAGGGCCAGTGGTTCCAGCTCGGACTCAACCTGGTCACGATCAACGGCTCCCAGATGTTCGGCAAGGGCCACTGCGTGTCCAGTGACGGCCCCCGATACATCATGATGGACAAGGGCTCGGATGGACGGTGAGTAAAGCGAAACCACCATTAGGTGGCGGGTGTCAATAACATTACCGAAATCGATTTTTGTTGGCTGAACGCACTCAAAAATCCCATGAACTTTTCTGCTCACGACTTACTGGTTTCTGTGTGCGTGCTACGCTTTATACTGGCGTGTTTAAAATTTCGTGAGCCGAGCATGTTGACAGAAATTTGTATAAGATGGGAGTAAAAACGTTTATAAGATTTTAGTGTGTGGTGCACACACCTCGGTCGTGTGTCTCTGCTGTCTGAAATATCTGACGTTACTCCGAAGACGGCTGCTCCGATTGACTTGCAACTGCACACGAAGCTCTGGACGTAACGCTATATTAGTTTTGAAGTAGATAAGAAGTTTGAAATATTCTATCGTTTAAGTTGAATTGGCACCCGCTCGATGTTGCTGGCAGCACAAAGCAGCGCAAGCGGCGAAACGCCTGGCTGCAAGCCTCGCCCAATGTTCCAATATTATTGCCTTCAAATCAAATCTGGTTTACGGGGGTTTGGGGGCACGGGGGCGCCGATTCTGATGGCACCTACACACTCAATTCTTGTGTTCAATTTTTATGCTCGTCACGCTTACTTAAAACAATGGCCGATTTCCTGAGGAAAGATTGAAAACTTGGAGAAACTTCCATATTTGAGGGGAAACCGAGGGGAAAACTCTTCAGATTTCGAGGAAGTAAAATTTTGGGAGAAACTATTTCTTTGCAGTGACTGACAGCTTGCTTTCTTTGCAATTTGAACTAATCCTTTGCAAGACAAAGCTCGAAGATTCTTTGCAACGTTGCAAAGAATATAGTTTCGCAAGCATTGTACAGTGTGGACTGAGGAACTTCTGTGTGCGTTCTGTGCTTGCGTGTAGTTTTCGTTCATAATCACAGAAAAAACTAACAGGCAAATTTTTGAACTGCAAAAAAAAAAAGATCTAGTTATGCACAAGAATTATTATGCGTATGCGCATAACAATAGCACGCACACAGAAGTTCGTCAGGATTTAGTTACTAGGCCTGTTAACGAGGGGGCAATAACTCCCTTTTGAAGTGTACACGTGATTCCCGAAATTCTTGATTCCCGGTGATTCCCGTCCGCTTTTAACTATTACATAGGTTTTTCGGGGGGTTTTAGTGGTACAAAACGCTTATTTCGACTGATTTGTACTTATTTCTCTAGTTTCCCGCTTATTCTAATCGATTTCTATTGATTTTGATCAATTTTTATCCTGATGATTCCCAGACAGGTGTACACATGATTCCCGGAGTTATTGCCCCCTCGCCTGTTAAGCAGTACTCCCAAGGGCGTAGGGCGTCTCTGGGGATTTCGGTGACCATTAATTCTTCTTTTAATTATTTCCTAATGCTAGCGTCCGATATTTTCAATACACTATCGCTCAGGTACTTGAGTGCCTGCCGCACGCATTTGCATCCCCAGGTTTAAAGTTGCGCTTCTCAAAAAGCGATGTCTTGTCGGAGTCACTCGGCCACTTTCCCGTTTTCCACGCCGCATCCTTGAACGTTTCTCAATTAACGCCCCCCTCTCCTCTTTTAGGATCGGCGCGGGCTCGTTACCCTTATCTGCTGGGCCTTAATCAATTACCCTATCCGCCCGCCATCCCTCATTCCGTTGCAATCTCCTCTTGTCTTCATTACAACTGCTACTTCCAAAACACGCAAAAAAGTTAAATGAAAAATAACGACACGAAGACAAGAATAACATCGATGAAAAATCGGCGTATTCAATTCATAACTTCTTTTTTTTTTTTTCGAATAAGTTTCTGACTGAAATTGACATATTTTATTAACATAATTTTTTCACATGTTTTTTCTTTAAACTTTTTCTATGAACGTATTCTTTTGGGTGAAACCTCTCTCTTCCCTACAGCGTACCCCTCTTGCCTAACCCGGGCGCGCTTGTGCTACCCCTCCTCGTAGGGCTTTTCTCTCCAAAAAGTGTCAGTGTGGTGGCGTGGCGGGGTGGGGCGGGGTGGGGCTGGGCGGGGCGGGGCTCCAGCGGCTCCAGTGATAGCGGATAGCCCCGGCTCTGCCTTAGTCTAATAAAGTTGATTTTATCTGCTCGCCCCCCACCCCCTCAAGGGCGGGGGGAGGCGGGCTCACCCGCTGCGATCATCCGCTATGGTGACTCCCATTGCTACACCGAAAAGGGAACAGGAAAACCCGGGAAAACCGAAACTGCGTAGACATTGAATCGCGCGTGGAGGAGAAAAAGAATAAAAAGATGGCTAACTAACTAGACAAGATCTTCCTCACCGTGCTCATGATATGTTAGAAGAGGTAAATACGTGTCTTTTTCTTTCCCCCTGTTTGCATCTCCTTTTTTTACTCTCCGACTTCCTTTTATGTTATCTATTTAGGGAGAAGGCCGAGTGATTAACGGAGTCCCTCTCACCTGAGTCGTCCTCAATCGACTCTGCGGGGCTCAGCCAACCGAGCATGCGGGCGCGGTATGGAAGTCATTGGAGAGAGAGAGAGAGAGAGAGAGAGAGAGAGAGAGAGAGAGAGAGAGAGACGGGCGCACGCGCGCCTCTGCGTCCGTCGTGCGAAAATATCTCCTCGCGATGGGCCTTTGTGAATGATGAAGGTTTAGCTCGCGGTGGCAGGCCAGAGGCCGCCACGCCACGCCACGCCGCAGCCGCGCACAGACCACAATCCATCTTTCTTCTGTTTCCCTGTACGGTGCGGCCGTAGCTCCAGCAGCCGCGAGGGTGGGGAGATGGGGGAGGGGCGGGGGAGCGCCGGAGTTTTGTCGCCCGGAAAGAGGGAGCAGCAGGATATTTTGAAGGACGTGCCGTGGCGGGGATGGGGCGGCGGCGGCGCCGAGGAGTGGAGTCGGTTGATACAAAGTCCATCCCTCCGAAGCGAGGGGTGTAACTGGAGAGACAAAAGGTGTGAATGCCTCTCGGGCCCGCCCCGCCCCGCCACGCGCGCTAGAGTAGGCGGGTCGCGAAACATTAATGACGTCTCTCGGGCCGCCATGCGCTGCGGGCTTGGGGATCGCTTTCTGTGTTCAGTCGTGATCGTTGTTTATTCCCTTTGATGAGTACCGCGCCGATGACCCCGCGAATAACTGAAGGCAAAGAGAGCGCAGAAATGAATCGTGATGCCACAGCTCGCCCATGTCAGTCGTTCTTGCCCCCTGGAGCCTTGCCCCCCCCCTCTCCATCAGCCCCCAGCCGACCCCTGCCTGCGCGCCTGCG